CTTCTTGGACCTCCAACAACCCCACCCTACCCACCATTCGCAACAAATCTCAAAGCGAGTCGGTGATGACGAGTCAAAATCTTTGGTTTGATTGGCGCCATGAGATCTCTGCGTTGCACAGAGGAGAGAATCGTGTGGAGGTCGTCTGCTGGGTTTCTTCAATTTAATCATTTTTGTTTGACTGGGTTTCGATAATTGAAAAGGAGAAATTGAGTTTGATGAGTAAAAGAAATACAATCACTTTTTTTTTTTGGGGGGGTTTGGTTAATTGAAAGAGAAGGAAAGTTGTATGGCTAAGGATTGATTCAATTAATGGGTTTGGGTTAGTGGCTGTTGGAGAGAGGGAATGGATGAAGTGGGTGGGGTCAGTAGCTGTCGAATAGAGAAGATGAGAGAAAGGCAAAGCCGCTCCAGACCCAGCTTTCTCATACTGCTCGAAAGCTACGGAGGGGAGGGGTATATGGGTTTGTTTTGTTTGGGATGAGGGAGGAACTATTTTATTTTATGAGGTTGCTGCGATGGTGGATTGGGGTTGCTGTGACGGTGGGGTTTTGGATCAGATGCAGGTGCTTGGGTGATCGGTGGTTGTGGATGGCGCTTGGATGGTCAGTGGTTGCAGGCGCTTGGGTCGGGACTAAGTTGTCCTCCCATTCCACACGGGACTCATTAAGACCACCTAAGAAGGTGTTTTTGGTGGGGCCAGTATTAACAGTCCCACTTAAAACTAGAACCAAGTGTAAACAAACATGGGATAAAAATTTGTCTAATCCAATGCAAGCCAAGGTGTAACAAACATGCCCCTAGGGAATTAGCCCATTTCCCTTTTGCTGCTATCTTGCTTTGATTTTTTATGTTTTATGACTTGCTTTCCGAATGTATTTTGTGTTATTTTGTACTGTTCTTTTTCTCAACTACCAAAGTCTTACTTTGTTCTGAATCTTCTGATGCACGTTTATGCTGGATATCTGCTGCTAAGACAAAGGATGCTTTAATCTAAGTGCACATAATTGGTTTAAAATTATTGCTTTGGGTTACTTTTGAGATCTTCCCGTTAAAAAAACCTGAAGTTAGCAGTAAAAGGGCATAATTTCACCCTGTTAGCTGTAGTAGTATTGCCTTAATTTCACCCTGTCGTAGATTTGCTACTAATTGATTTTGGCTACTGACTGATATCCAGCGTGTTCTCCTTCCTTAAATAACTTAAAGTGTGCCAGTGCTTCCCATTTGGTTGACCTATTTTTGTTCTTTCTTGAAGGACTCCTGGATATAGCAAACCAGCATTCACATCTAGTGAAGTTTATCAAAAGGCATTTGATCTGGAAGACAAGGTATTGTTGCAATTCTTTCTTGATTAAGAAAATAAATGGAAAAGTAATTCACAAGCTACTTCTCGATGATTGTAACCTCTTATCTATACGATTGTATGTCTGTCTAGGTTGCCAACATTAACAGAATCCCCAAGCCAAAGCCTAAAATTGAGAAACCCACAAGCAATGAAACAGACAGCAGCGGAGAAAAAGCTCAAGATTCCAGCACAAGTTCTGACAATTCCTCACAAGATGACAAGAAAGCTAGGGACTCAGATGATTCAGCAAAGGAAAAGGTTGAGTCGGAACCTGAGGGCCACGATGAGCTATGATCTAACTAAACTGAAATGCAACTAGCATTAGTTATCTGCCTTCCCAAGCATTTTGGATTGGCATCGATACAGAAGAAGGTTGAAATGAGCCTGCAATTTTCCGACAGTAGAAAAGAGTAGAGTTGAGGCCAATTTTCAGTTGGGTGCTCATCACCCTCGATGTGGCGGATAGCTGTGTTTGGCGGTCCGAAGAATAGTTGCACAAGGACTTCTCTCTTGTTATTTATACTGCTATCACCATATACCCACATTACATAGGGGCATTGATGGGTTTACCACTTTGCCTCCTTTAAATATAAAGTTTTGATCATTGTTATATTATGTTCCTCAGACGATATGATAGGGATATTTTTTGCTGTTGAGGAAGACTCTCCATCATCTTCTTTATGAAACAAGTGTAGCTCTTAAGATTACAATTTTGATCTGTTCGTGGTTTTTTTCTTCTGGTTGTTCCTGAAAAGGAACCGTTTTGTTAACACCTTGCATCATCAGCCAAACGGAAACGTTTCGAATTGGCATTCTGCTACTCGTTAACATTACAAAAAGATAACCCGAAACGTTTCAAAAGCGCAAGACAACAAAGAATCAACTGCCTAAACTATAAAACACAGCTCTTTTTCTCTCGAGAACTCCTCCAACCAAACCGTTGTGGTCAATTATCTACCGTGGAAGTGTTTTGGGGTCCCTGTATGCTGAAGCCTTTCGTACCATTGTGGTCGAGTGAGTTTGTATCTTTTTGGGTTGAAAAGTGAGCTTCATTTTGATCAATGGCTGTGATAAATCTCAAAATCTGCCACCTTTTCTCATATTCATGCAATGGAAAATGAAAAATTGAAATTTCTAGTCGTGGTCGTGGATATGTTGGAAAAAAGGTTTCATTCGGATTGAACTGATACACTAGCAAAGGAAATGTCTTGACCACTTCGCAGTCATCAGTAGCAAAGACCAATGAAGCTCAGATCAATAGGTGAAAGGGGAAGCCAAGTCTTTAATCAAAATCTGAAGATTACCCGGTTGGGGAAGTCAGGACGGATCGATGAAGCAATTAAAATTTTCTCACAAATGGCTCAGAGGAACACTGTAACATACAATTCTATGATCTCTGCTTATGCTAAGAATGGTAGAGTTGGCAATGCACGCCAGCTGTTTGATCAAATGCCTCATAGAAACTTGGTTTCTTGGAACTCCATGATTGCGGGGTACGTGCACAATGATAGGGTTGAGGAAGCTTATAGGCTTTTTGTTGACATGCCAGACAGAGACCTTTACTCGTGGACTTTAATGATAACTTGCTATACTCGTAACGGTGAGCTTGAGAAAGCCAGAGAGCTATTCAATTTGCTTCCTGATAAGCGAGACACAGTTTGTTGGAATGCTATGATTGCAGGGTATGCCAAGAAGGGGAAGTTCGATGATGCTAAGAGCTTATTTGCTGAAATGCCAGCCAAAAATTTAGTTTCATGGAATTCAATGCTAGCAGGGTATACTAAGAATGGGGAAATGCGTCTGGGAGTGAAGTTTTTTGAGGAGATGCCTGAGAGGAATGTGGTTTCGTGGAATTTGATGTTGGATGGATTTGTTGAGGTTGGTGATTTGGATTCTGCATGGCTGTTCTTTAAGCAGATTCCAGACCCGAATGTTGTTTCATGGGTCACAATGTTATGCGGGTTTGCACAAAATGGGAAGATTGCAAGGGCAGAGGATCTCTTCAAGCAGATGCCAAGTAGAAATGTGGTGTCTTGGAATGCAATGCTTGCAGCGTATGTTCGAGACCACGAAATTGACAAGGCTATCAAAATATTCAGGGATATGCCTGAGATGGACTCTGTGTCATGGACTACAATGATCAATGGGTATGTCCGCGTTGGCAAGCTTGATGAAGCAAGGCAATTGCTCAACCGGATGCCATACAGGAACATTGCAGCACAAACTGCAATGATGTCTGGATATGTACAAAATGGAAGGATGGATGAAGCAAGTCAAATCTTCAATCAGATTGCCATCTATGACGTTGTTTGTTGGAACACATTGATTGTGGGCTATGCTCAGTGTGGAAAAATGGTTGAAGCTCTATCTCTTTTCAGAAAAATGATTAACAAGGACATCGTTTCTTGGAATACTATGATTACTGGTTATGCTCAATTAGGGCAGATGGATAAAGCACTTAAGATCTTTGATGAGATGGGCGAGAGGAGCATAGTTTCTTGGAATTCTCTGATTACTGGTTTTGTGCAAAATGGGCTATATCTGGATGCACTAAAGAGTATTGTGATGATGGGACAGGAAGGAAAGAGGCCTGATGAATCAACTTTTGCATGTGGTCTAAGTGCATGTGCCAATCTTGCAGCTTTACAAATCGGAAAGCAACTTCACCATTTGGTTGTGAAGGGTGGTTATGTAAATGACTTGTTTGTCTGCAATGCCCTGATTACCATGTATGCTAAATGTGGAAGGGTCACGAATGCTGAGCTTGTGTTCGAAGATATCAATCATGGTGATATTGTTTCTTGGAACTCTCTGATATCTGGGTATGCTCTAAATGGAGATGGTGGAGAGGCAGTAGAGCTCTTCAAACAGATGCTAATAGAAGGGGTGAATCCAGATCAGGTCACCTTTGTTGGGGTCTTATCTGCATGCAGTCACAGTGGGCTGGTTGAGTGTGGTTTAGACATTTTTAAGAGCATGACGGAAGTTTACCTTATTGAACCTCTGGCTGAACACTATGCTTGCATGGTTGACTTGCTTGGTCGTGCAGGGAGGCTAGAGGAAGCCTTTGAAATGGTGAGTAATATGAAGATCAAGGCAACTGCCAGAATATGGGGTGCATTGCTTGGAGCTTCCAGGATACACCGGAATCTAAAATTTGGCAAGTATGCTTCCGAGAAGCTTTTAGAAGTTGAACCTGATAAAGGTTCAAATTATGTGCTCTTGTCAAACATGCATGCTGAGGCAGGCAGATGGGATGAGGTTGAAAGAGTCAGGGTGTTAATGAAAGAAAGTAGCATGGTGAAGCAACCAGGCTGCAGTTGGATTGAAGTCAGAAATCAAGTACATGCTTTTCTCTTTGATGATCCAGTGCAGCCTAGAACAGCAGAGCTTTGCAGTGTATTGAAGAGCCTAACCACCGAGATGAGAAACACAAGTTACGTCTTGACACCTTATGATTGAGGAGCTCTTTAGTACCTACCTACTGGCACCATACATGGTACTGCTTTTTCGCTCTAGTTAAACTATTTGCATTTTAGCATTTTGTAGATTAGTAAATGTACAAGCATTCATTTACTAATTCTTCTTCAATTGCATACGAATGACTTATGTTACTTTCAAGGAAAACATTAGGAAAGAAATTAGATTGTTTCAAGGAAATATTAGCATTCAACATTTATACTTATGTGCAGATAACATTCAAAACTGACTATTTTATACAGTGAAGTATCAATGTTTCCTCTGTTTAAATCAGCTAACTGACCCTCTCTTTTTTTTTTCTTTCTTCTTTTCTGGGCTTGAATACAGTACAGGAATAAAACCGCACACAGACTATGAACCAAAAGGGCAGGACTTTCTCTCAGTGAACACCCAGAGATTTTCCTAAATGCCCATTGGAATTTTACTACCTGTTCCAAGTAAAAAGAAATGCATGTTCAACTCAACCGAGCAACATCAGACTTCCACAACAAGATCTCTGGCATCTTTTCAACCCATAGCATTGGAAAGACCATAGCCGTTCAGATGGGATTTTTGCCATCTCCATGCAATCTGTAAGCTCTCTTGAAGTGTATAGTGGGCTGTCCAATTTAACTCCTTCCTTACCTTGGAAGGGTCACTATAAACTTTAGCATAATCCCCTGGCCTTCGGCTGAGGTATTCAACCTTTATGTCCACCCCTGTCGCCTTCTTACACGCCTCGACAAACTCCTTCACTGAACTACCTGCGATAAAAATGATCTGAAAGATCAGGAGAAGCGGGGCCAGGAAGGAAAGGATAAGGAAAAGAGGAAAACAAAATTTGAGGGATTTGCTAACCTTTTCCAGTGCCGACATTGTAGATCCCAACCTTTCCAGGTTGTGCATGGGCAAGAGCTTTTACATGAGCATCAACCAGGTCAGTGACATCAATGTAGTCCCTCACACAAGTGCCATCAGCTGTCTCATAGTCTGTTCCTCTGACCTAGAATCAATAACATAAACAAAGGAATTCAATTTCTCACATTGATTTTGGCCTAAATAAGTCTAGCTGAAAAAGAGAAGGCGGAGCAGAGGGAAAAAAAGTACCTTCAGTCCAGGAATAATCCCTCGAGCCGCATCAAAACAAGCACCAGATATTCGGCCCTGCTCACGTAGCTCAGGTCGAGGAGCCTCTCCTAGTTTTCCCTCAGGGTCTGATCCTATCACATTAAAGTATCTGAATACATAACCGTAAGTATATTAGCTTCAGTTATATCTAGAGATCCAAAATATACAACCTGGGAAATTGTTTATGCTTCATGTTGTGTTAAACTAAAAATTTGAAAACAAAGTAAATGGTTTTTGATTGTGTCAGCACCTACCGTAAGATCATGACCCCCATGTCTGAGTTTTTGGAGAAATCCAGTATGATGTCTTCTGCCATCTTCTTGGCTTTTCCATATGGATTGATTGGGACCTGAGTTGGTACATTTATAAATTCTAAGTGTTTGGACCTTGACAGAGAACCAAGTTGGTGTATAGAAAACTATTCTGTGTTGTATATTGCTTGATGTATTAACACAATATTTACACTTTGCAGATGACATATTATTAAGATAATGAATTAATTGTGATTTTGAGGTTGGATAAAACAGACAAAAAACTCTGTTATGAGTTCTCACCTGCGTAGTTTCTTCGGTGATCGGCATCTTCTCAGGTTCTCCATATGTGGCACAAGTACTAGAATAGATCAATGTCTTCACATTGTGTGCTGCCATTGCCTCCAAAACCAACAGGGTGTTTGATGTGATGTTGTGATAATATCTGCAGAACACAGATTATATGTGATTAAAAGGTACAGTGAGAAGAGTAAATATGTTGATTAACTGGAAATTAAAGATTGAATGTACCTAAGAGGCTCAAGTGTGCTTTCACCAACATAGGCAACAGCTGCAAAATGCATGACAGCATCAAATGCATTCTCTGAAAAGATTTTGTTGACCTAAGACAAGAATCAAGGAATGTCCAACACACATTGTTTATTGAAATAGATCAGAGAAGAAAATAAGAACTAGTGATACTACTTTTAATTATCATAATTAGGATACAGCTTTGGCATCTCCCAGGTCTGCGTAAATAAACTGAAGTCTCCCGGGTTCTGGAAATAACTTCTGAAGAACCCTAACAGCACCTATATTTCCTCGGGAGAGATTGTCCTGTACAAAGAGGCAAAAGGGTTTAATTCAATGAAACACAATTAACAGTTACATTCAATTTCAATAATGCATGTAAAAAAAGGAAAATTGATGAAAATAGAAAAAGATTTGAAATTGCGTGAATGAGAGATACCAAAATGGTTACACGATATGAATCCTTCAAAAGCCTAAGTGCAGCATGAGAACCTATGTAGCCCGCACCTCCTGTAACCAAGACATGCGTCACGCCGGCTTCATGGTAAGAAAACTGCACATACAAGAGAAAAAAACCAAGTCAAATGTAAAGAAATAATGTGTTTAAAAAAAAAACAACAACAAAAGTAAAGATTATGCATCAGAAACAGACCATGTTGTGGCTGCTAGAATTAAGCGACTGCTTGAACATGACAAAGCAGATGGTAATGAGGACAGCAGCTGCAAAAAATTTGCCAGAAAAACTGCTCCTTCGTTTTGCAACTGCAATATCCATGGCTGCAAACCACAGAATTGAATGAAAATCAAAATTGGTAAGTGCTTATATATCAGGAGTTGAAGGACAAAAATTTGTCCATTGTGATCAGTCCAAAGACGATGTGCCCTATGCTTTTTGTCCAATCCAATGGCTATTTTAACTCTGCCGACTTCAATCAATCTTCCTCACAATCATGACCAATATGGAGGGAAAAGAAGATAGAGAATGGTAAATTGAATTTAGAAATCACCCACCTGCAAATTATGAAGATGATTTTGGCCTTGACTTTGGCTGAGCTCTTTTTCTCTATGATATAAGCCAACTGTAGTTACATGAACTGCAAGACTCTGCTGGTTAACCATATGTCATCAAATTGTATAAAATCCACACAAACAGAGAGAGATATAGAGAGAGAGAGAGATTACAGCTCAATATATAGCTTTCCCAATTCTATACAAAATAGACCAAATTCAACTATTTGCAAGTAGGAAAATTCAGCATCATATAGGAGAATTCCAATTCTAACCCAACAAAAAACTCCCAACGAAAGGTCAAAGCTAGAAAGTCCAAAACCAATAGGAAAACACCAAGGAGACTTGAAAAGAATCAATAACTTTTTTTTTCTTCCATTATCTCGATTATAATCATAATAGAAGAAAAAGGAGTTACAAATAAAGCATGAACGTTACAAAAACCATGGAAAACAAATAGATTTATAACTAAAAAAGAAACTAGGAAGCAACAAACACATGGGATCACACAGGGTTTCAATGAATTCAAGGAACCCAAATGACAGAAACTAATAATTATGCAAAGAATTAAAACTCATGAAAAGTACCTGAGCAGGCACATACGTTAAACTCCTCAACCTCAGAAACACAGAAACTGGAACGAGGAGGTTTTGATATATTAGTTTGAGAATATAAAACGTTTCTGCTCTCTCTCTCTCTCTCTCTCTCTCTCTCTCTCTCTCTACATTGCAATGAATTAGGTGAAATGTATATATAGGGTCAGTGTGAGAATAAAGAAGTGTCACCAAAGATCATATAAAGATGGAGTGAAAATGAAAGAATCGCTACCAACCCATGAATGAATATTGGTATTTGAGAGAGAGAGACAGAGAGAGAGAGTTTGGACGTGGTCTTGTGTGTTGTGTGTGAGGGATTAAAGTGAAGGAGAAATGTGGGCGTGAAGGAACAACACGTTACATGCGCATGCGGTGAAGGTCAGAGGCTCTCTGCTTCCTCTCCTCTGCCCCTCTGCATGTGAATTGACCGGTGCATCAGGAAGCTTAATCCTTCAATCAATCAAAACTTTAAGTTTAAGATCAACAATCTAGCTAAAGTCCACCATTTCTATATTATTAAGATACATATACATACATACATATACATATGCATGCACACCTTTTCGTGGGTTTGATCATATTTGGTTTAATTGAATTAAGTTGTGAATGTGGTAGCCAATGGGTTCTAGTCTAGTGGAAAAGGATTTTGACTTACAAATCAGATTCCCTTATAATTTAGACTATCGCTTGTATTAAAATAAAAATAAAAATTCATATATGTTTATTTCAAAATGATGTGTGCGGTTAAGCATGGTTTTTTCTCTCTCTCCTTTAATTTTTTTCATTTTTTATGTTGTATTGGACTAATTCTCTTAACAACTGTAATATTCTCCCAATTATTGATATTATAATCTGTCACTGAGGAAGCTTATATATGTATTGAATTGTAGTTATTGTATATTTGTTTGTTTACTTATAGAACTCCTTAGAGAAAAAGAAAAGGACTGGACACCTGCTTCTCTCTTATCCTAATTAGCTATAAAACTTGGTCTAATTGTGTGTTCTCCCCTTAGTCTCCTGGGAGATCTCCACCAGTACTTAAAAGCACTTCCAGATTTGTATTCATTTTGGTTCACTGATGATTCATTGGTCTGGGTTTATAGGTCACAAAACTATAAGAGGTAATTAACCCTCTATATATACCCACTACCTTACCGGCAGAAATTCTATAGGATATCGATATTGTTGAAAATGTATTGGTATATGTTGGTATGTTTTTTTTTTTGGTGAAAACCAAGGTATCCCCCCGCGATTGCGGGGACTAACCCTCGAGGTACTGTCGGGCGCAAAGCGGGGACCTCTCCCAACAAAGTCTGCTCTATTCGCAAGCGCCTGGGATCGAACCCAGGACCTCTTGTTTAAAGGATCCAAGCCCCTTCCACTTGGACCAACTCCTGTTGGTTATATGTTGGTATGTTATGTAGGCGACAATCATATCAATGTCTATAATTTAATAAAGAACTAACCTCCGTTTCATAACCAAACTGATCGCGCATCACTTGAGAACTAGAAAGAACAAACAAAAAAAACTAGTAGCAGTGTCATTCTACCACAATGGAGGGGAGTAAAAGAATAATGTTACATAAATGACTAAATATGTTAATTTCGTTGATTTACTTATTACATCAATTATTATGATCAACTGTTAATTGACGTTTTTTTTTATAAACATCACGTGACTATGCATTCTCTCATTGAAATAATCTTTCACATTTTCTCTCTTTCATTTCATCTCTCTGTTAGAGTTTTCTTTGCTACCTAATTTCTAGGAAATTAATATTATACTTGTCTTCCTTACCCAATTTCTCTTGCTTACAGGAGACTATTAGCCCTGCCCTAATCATCATTTCTGATTCCCCTTCTTGCACGTTTCATGAACATGAGAAAATTTCCAAGAAAACCAACACTTCCTTTGAAAAATGTCATAGCAAAATTTGAATGTCCACCACAACGGCACCGTTTCCCATATTCTTCTCTAAATCCTAGCCACAGAGAATATCCTCTTGCAACACGATGACGTGTCACCTAATCTCACCGTGGAGCCCTTACATTCTAATGCTCTCTCCAAGTCAAGGTCAAGTGCCATTGTCACACCGAGACACGCGTAACTCCTTCATTGGTAGGAAGGCGGACCCGGACCCAAGGATCCATATCGGGCCTCCGAAGTCCGAATATCCGAGCTTTAATACAGAAAGAAACAGTTTGAGCTGAGCCAATCAGAGGCCGCCACCTCTCTCTGCGTGTTTGCTCACCGCCATTCTCTGGAGGAAGCACGTGTGCGAATGCGAAAGTCGTCTTCTTCATTCGCGGTGCTGCAAAATGACCTAACCTCATAACCCTCTCTCTCTCTATATCCCTCTCTCTTCTGAGAGGGGTTTACCCTTTTTCGTGACCTCTCCGACTTTGGCCCTACGATTTCTCTACTATTTACACTACCTGCCATCCCCATTTTTCTTCGCCCTTGTCTCCGTCCACCACGTAAATCTCCAAATGAAGCCCTCGAGTTTCGGCTTTTTGTGTTGATGCTGATCCGGAGCAAGACGACGTCGTTTTCGATTCTGCACCGGGGCTTCGAATTCTAGGGTCGCGGACGCTGTTGGTTGTTCTGTAAATATGGAGAGATCTAATGGCGCAGATTTTAGGGACTTTCTTGAGAGTTCCTCAGGTTCCTCAGGTTTCTTTTTAACCTTCAAGATCTGTAGTTTTTTTTTCTTCGCATTAAGAGGTTTTTTGTATGCTGAGAAAGTGGAAGGAAAGAAAATCATAAATGTTTAAATGTCTTTTTTAGTTTGAGGAAACAAATGGCATGAGATTCTCTTTTCTTTTTCCTATCTTTTCTCACACAAAATGAAAAAAAAATCTAGGTTTTTTTTTTTTTGCTTTCTGATTGTTTGTTAGGAAATTCTTTCTAGTTGGGATTATGTGTTTTAGTTTGGACTTGATTTGATGGGTTTGAATTTACCTTTCAACTTGCTTCTGTAGCTTGTTGGGAAGATTGGTATTCAAGTCGAAGTTTGGAGTTGATGATTATGAGCTCTGTCCATGAATGTATTTTTTGGTTGCCTAATTATTTTTCCTGGGACTTTACTTCTTATTGTCAATTAGTTTTAGCTTAATTTTGCTTTATGGATGAGTTGAAGCTGTATGACCCTGGCCAAGGTTCTTGTCCTGACTGAATTCATAAGACTAGTTTATGAGAATGATTGAAAATTTAGCTGACATTGTGGTGTGAAATGTATGGGAAATTAATGTTGGGGGTATGACATGGATGGTTATTTTTTGCAGCTTTACTCGTTTATATATCATTGATGTAGCTCTCTTGATTTGAATGTCTAACTTTGTTTTGATTGTCATACAGATAATAAACTCTTTGATGCCTCACAATACGAATTTTTCGGTCAAAAATTGGTGGAAGAAGTTGAGTTGGGGGGTTTGGAAGATGAGGAAGACAGAAAACCTTTATTTGGCCCTGTTGATAATGAGTACCATTTATTTGAGAAGGATGAGGTTAGATTACTTTTCCCCGTTAATCTTAATATAAACTCTAAGGCCAACTGTGCAATAGCTGATTTTGTTCAATTTGCATGTAAGGTCCATTAGACCTTTTTACACTTTTTCACACTAAATATTGTTCACTTGCCACTACAACTGGTGTGCATATGTTTTGCATAGTTCATGCTGAGTACTCTTACTTTAGGCTTGATGCTATGGTATGGGCAACCATTTCCCTAATTTTTTTTTCATTGTGATGAAGTTTGAGTTTATTGTCTATTTAGTATAATGAACATATGTTGTAGGCTCTGTATTGGTGACTTTTAGCTTTCAGTGATATAAAACCTGTTTATTGACATTGATATTTATTTTTGCATTTAGGGTCTAGGTTTGGGATCTTTATCTGACGTGGATGATTTGGCAAGTACTTTTGCAAAGGTGAGCTTTCTTAATTTTGATGATTTGCAAGCAGTTTGAGTTTGTGTCTGCATGACATTAGTTATGAGATACTTTAATCAGTATGTTTTTGCTCATATGTATACGCAAGCATGTGATTGAAGTTAGGAAATTTTCTTCAATATCTTAATATTTGTCTACTTTTATTTGTCTTGAGATTCTATTTCTTATGCTGCATTGCTGATGATTATATCAAAGAAAAGACAGTAATGATACAGCTATAATTTTCATCCAGAATATTATCTGCTGTAGTTACTATTCACTGATGATGGTTTCTACCCAGTAAATTCACTTGTTTGAATGTAGCAGAATATGTTTTTTTTCCTTCAATGTAATTTTATGCTTAATTGTGATTGCTATGATCAATGAATCTGTTTGTCTCTCAAACTCAAAATTTCAAAAGTAGCAGTGGTTTTTGTTTTGTTTTTGGAGAACGCTTTGTCTTTTGCTGTCTGTTGTGTGCATTTTCCTTATATGTTCATCTTCATTGTCCATTCTCTCCCCACTAATTCTTAATAATGAATTTTTTCTTCTTCTTCTTTTACATAGTTGAACAAAGTTGTAACGGGACCAAGACATCCAGGAGTTATAGGAGACAGAGGTTCTGGATCCTTTTCACGGGAAAGTGAGTAACAAACTGTCAACTTTTGTTATGTTATGATGGTGCTTAGGTTTGTCATGCTTGCGTTCTTGGTTTGGATTTATTCCTTTGTTATGTGATAAGGCTTTAAACTTCTGGTGATCTCATTTGAGATTGTATTCTTATGTACCCGCATCTCAATCATTTTATAGCAAAAAATTTATGTTGGTTTTGGAAGACTTCCGTTGCACTTTTCTATTTTCAATGCTAGATAATATAATTAGCAAAAATGAATTAGTTGAACATGCGCTGCACAGATTGTATTACCTCTGTTAACATCAGAGGGACGTATTTTAGTCTACAGTGCATCAAATTGAAACCTGAATGCACTTGTGTTATCAGAATATTAAAACGATAAAAATTGTACAACTCTGGCTTAAACTCAATGGTTCTTTTACCTTTAGAAAATTGGTTTGCAAATTATTTGTTATTATTTAATATCTAAAATACTCATCCTGGTGCTTCGAAGTTAACTTCTTGGGCTATTGGTTTTATTCATTCTACAATTGTGCTCTAGTTTTTTTTCTTAAATAAACTCTTAATGTCAGATCAGTCTCATGTGCTGGACAATTAGCGCTTTGATTAGTGTATGATTGAAGTTATGTTTGCATCTAGGAGAGGCTTTTGTCCTATTTATGACATGATAAGACTGGGTTCTTCTAGATTTATGTGTGGAACCAGGGTTTTGACTTGCATGCTGAAGATTTAATATAAAGATTTAGTTGATTATTGGCTCTTTGTAGTATACAATGTTAAAGTATCCAAAATATAGAAGTAACTAGGCTAAAAACAGCAGCAGTTAGATTGCAAGTCATTATGTTTCTTTGGTGTTGAACTATTAGTATGGTTATTATACCCGCTCCTTTGATCTCAGTCTAAATTAAATCACTTCTTTGGACCTCATGGTGTGCTTGATTTCTTCCATTTTTGATGTAATGTAAATAGCACTTATTCCTTACAACTCCAGCTTTCGGAATTTTATTTCTGTTTTATTTAACGCGGAGTTCTGTTCAGGTTCATCTGCTGCTGATTGGGCCCAAGATGGAGATATCAGTAACTGGTTAGATCAGCATATGTTTGATACAGAAAGTTCCCAGGAAGGTAAGAGGTGGTCGTCACAGCCCCAGCCTTCTTCTGCCCGATTTTCCGAATCAAAACAGCCAAAACCTTTGTACAGAACATCCTCATACCCCGAGCAGCAGCCAGTCCAGCATCACTTCACCAGTGAACCAATTTTAATGCCCAAATCAACGTTCACATCATTCCCACCTCCTGGAAACAGGTCCCAGCAGGGTTCACCACACCACCAGCTGAATATTTCTACTCTTGCTGGTGGTTCCCAGTTGCCCTTTTCTGCTCCAAACCTTTCTCCTTTATCTAACTCTAATCTTCTTATGGCTGGTTTACCTCATGGGTTGCATTATGGAGGGAACATGCCTCAGTTTACCAACCCTGGCCTTCCTTTCAATAGCAGGGCACAAAATCATTGGGCCACCCATTCTGGAGTATTGCATGGGGATCATTCCAGCATCATAAACAATATACTGCAGCAACAGCACCCTCATCAAAATGGACTTCTGTCCCCACAATTACTGTCAGCTCAGCAGCAGTTACAACAGCAGAGATTGCACCATTCGGTTCAGCCGTCTTTGGCCCATTTTGCAGCAATGCAGTCTCAACTTTATAGTACCCATCCTTCTCCATCACATAAGGGAATGCATGGGTTGTCTGACACAAGAGATCATAGACCTAAACATAGAGGAAAACAGCGTTATTCTCAAGGCTCTGATGCTGGTAGTCAGAAAAGTGAGAGTGGGTGGATCCAGTTCAGGTCTAAGCACATGACATCTGAAGAGATAGAGAGTATTCTTAAGATGCAGCATGCTGCGACACATAGCAACGACCCCTATATCGATGATTATTACCATCAGGCAAGTCTTTCTAAAAAATCAGCTGGTTCGCGGTCAAAACACCCTTTCTGCCCATCTCATCTGAGAGAGTTCCCTTCCCGAGGTCGTAATAGTAGTGATCAGCATACTCATAGTTCTGTTGATTCTCTTGGGAGAATCCCCCTATCTTCCATACGTAGGCCTCGCCCCCTCCTTGAAGTTGACCCTCCCTCTGGTTCTGGTGATGGAGAACAGGCCTCTGAGAAGCCTTTGGAGCAGGAACCAATGCTTGCTGCTAGAATTGCTGTTGAGGATGGCCTTTGTCTCCTCCTTGATGTTGATGATATTGATCGACTTATACAACATGGTCAGCCCCAAGATGGTGGGGTTCAACTCAGGCGAAGGAGGCAAATCTTGTTAGAAGGGTTGGCATCATCACTTCAGCTTGTTGACCCACTTGGTAAAGGCAGCCAAGCAGTTGGGCTGGCTCCAAAGGATGACCTTGTGTTCCTACGGTTAGTGTCTCTTCCTAAGGGCCGAAAATTCATTTCTAGGTTTATTCAGCTTCTCTTCCCTGGTAGTGAGCTTGCCCGTATTGTCTGTATGACAATATTCCGGCATTTAAGGTTTTTGTTTGGTGGCCTACCATCTGATTCTGGAGCCGCTGAGACAACTACTAATCTTGCAAAGACAGTTTCTACATGCATTAATGGTATGGATCTTCGTGCACTAAGTGCTTGTCTCGTTGCAGTAGTTTGTTCATCAGAGCAGCCACCACTCCGACCTCTTGGGAGCCCTTCTGGAGATGGGGCCACTATTATTCTAAAATCTGTTCTTGAAAGGGCAACCGAAATCTTAAGTGACCCTCACGCTGCTGGAAACTGCAGCAGGCCTAACCGTGCCCTTTGGCAGGCATCCTTTGATGAATTCTTTGGTCTTCTTACCAAGTATTGCTTGAGTAAATACGAAACTATAGTACAAACAATATTTACACAGCCTCAGCAAAGCACAGAAGTTATTGGTTCAGAGGCTACCAAGGCAATCCATCGTGAAATGCCTGTGGAGCTTCTACGTGCAAGTCTTCCTCACACTGATGAGCGTCAACGGAAGCTTTTGTCAGATTTTGCTCAAAGGTCAATGCCTATATCTGGTCTTAATGCCCACGGTGGGGGTGGAGGTCAAATGAACTCTGAATCAGTGAGGGGATAGTGGAGAACTACAGGTTTTCCGGAAGGTTTCTCAAAAACATGATCTGTCATTGGTGGTTGTGTGCATTTCAGACGCTTTCACAAAGTGAATCTGCTTGAGAGGAGGGATGTGGCAGTGCAGGGGAGTGCTTCCTTGTCGAAGTAATTTTAAAGGCTTCGGTTTTATTTGTTGTTAACTACTTTTTACTGTTCTGAAAATTAAGAAAACATGTGATGCTCATTTTGGTGAATTCATAGTCAATGCATAAATGTGTATTATGATGGGAATGCTGGATGGAGGGGAGTTTGAGTCTGGAAGTTGGTTCTTCTGGGAGCTTTATTTTGGTGCTCTGTGTTGAACTGGAAGCATAGGGATAGAATGTACAGGGTAGTCTTACAGAACCTTCAAAACTCCTTTTGTTCCAGCTCATTTCCTGATATTTCATTTTCAGTTATTGTATCTGTCAGCATGATCTCTCTCTCTCTCTCTCTCCCTCTCCCTCTCTCTCTCTTCCCTTTTGGGTGCTCCGCAGCATTTCAGATTGTCATTTTTGTGGGTCTTTTTAGTTTTTTTCCATAACGAATATTCTTGTTTGGGCGACACACGTATCATTTTTCATGTAAAGTTTTGGAAAGAAATTGTTCACAATACTCATGAATGTGTAATAATTAATTCAACCTGAGGTGGGAAAAGATAAAGAAAAGGGTAAAGCTTTTATACGGAAAATTGTGACAATAATAATGTGGGGCGTGCACCAATTTGGCTTGGATTGTTATAAATTTTGGATATACAGTCTACGTTTATAAGGTTTTTACCTGACAGGAATGAATTTAGTTCGAGAATAATAAATTATGGGATAAGGCATGATATTAATGAGTTTTAATTTGAGTTGAAAAAATGTGTTGTGCTCTTAGCTTCCGCCGGAAGGAAATTCTACTTTTTAATAATCAAGAACAATTTTTTTTTTAAAAAGGGTTGCATTTAGCCACGATCTCAATAACTTTGCACATCCGAAAAAATGCCTTTCAATCAGTCACAGATAATTAGACAATTGCACTTCATTATCATAATGTGTGGTAAATTACCATGAAATATATATATTATATATAATTATCAACTTGACAAAGACCTAGTAGCTAGCAAGCATGTGAAATGTCAAGCACTTAAGGAGTGGCTTGCTCCGTTGCTATTGCCGATCTCTTTCTCATTGTCCAAAATGCAGCATTGTATCGGTTCTGCAAGGACAAAGGACGTTAAGTTGATTGAAGCAGCAAAGGTACATAAAAACAACAACTCATCGGCTTTGAATACGTTTCAAAGTCCTAAACAACTTGAGAACTTAATCTCTCTTTAAATATTGGTATGACAATATTTTAATATCTCTAAAACCAGCAGTATTGTTTCTGATCAAATTGTTTTGGATTTGGACCCTACTGACGTTAGTTGAGCTCCTACTGTATAGAGCAATGCCCCTACAAGGGGTGCATCTGAAATTACCGGTGTCCGAGTATGTATATGCAAAGCTCCTGTTAGAGATTACTACAGTAAAAGGGGATTAAAAAGAGGGGGAAAAGAAAAAAGCCACTTCATATGGTAGGACTTACTTGCATCATTGACTTAGGATTTGTAGTGTAGGTTGTCTCAATGGTCTTTTCCTTCTGCAGTACATGAAAGAAGTCAATTTATACGGGTATGATCATCCAATGATGCTAAAGCTAAAGCAACAAAACAGAATTGGGATGATCTTACCTCAAAATGAAATCCATAGTGCAAAGCAACCCTCTTCACATCCTCCAAACTCAGTTCAATGGACATTTCCTATAAAATGAACAAAAACAATTTTAAAACACTGGCCCCTCCTCAGAGCATGTGAGCAAACGAAATGTGCTTTATTGACAGGAAGCTTACATCATCTTGCCCATACATCTCGGCAAAGTGATATAGTAGTGGACCCATATTTATCCAAACCTGTCATCCAATCAATTAAGGCATTAATAAAGCTATAAGACGGGAACAAAATTATAGTTATCCGGATTGATTGAGGAACTTACTCCACCATCTTTCAAGATTCTTGATATGATTTCAATGTATTCGACAATATTGTGTGCCGTATCAATAAAGAAGCAGGTCACAACTGCATCCCAAACACCTGTATGTGACATAAATACACCCCATGTGAAATACTACAGAGGTTAATGATAAATCTTTCGCGATATTTACTACTACTAGGTGCTCAAAATATTTAATCATTAGCATCAATTACAATGTTTAAATATAAGAAACCCACGATTATGACATACAGATTTCCTTACCTACTTGGTTTGGATCATTATAAACCTCAACAAAGTCACCACCGCACATAGAAAAGCCTTCGGTAATCCCTGCACTGCTTGAAAGAAAATCTACAATTATTGGAAAACAAATCCTAATGGAAATTTTTAGGAAAAGAAAATTATACTGAAAACAAAAAACAAAAGTATGCCAATGTTTTATAAATCAATTTATCAAAATTCAGAATAAACTTTCTGGGATGTTAAAATTTTATCTTACAAGTGTATTAATCATATTACAAAAAGCATATCATTGGAGTGAAATGGAGACGTTTATATGGTCTAGTCAACTGTGACGATATAAGCAGGGGAAAAATTGCGAGGGGAATGTTTCTACGAGTTTTACTACAAATTAATGGCAACCATTGTCAACTCTTTCTAGGCCACTAATAAAACTGATTTCTAAGAGTATGCCATCAACAGCATCCATTCAACTTCAATGTAACTCGATGGTTCATGGCTAAATGCCTTCAAAGCTTTTAAAGAACTGAAATTATGCCAACAAATGACACTTCCGTAGCATTACTTCAAAGAAAAGAACCTAAGTAGCAGCATCAATACCTAGCTGGATGAATATCTGGTACTGAAACGGGACGAAGTTGGTCACTATCTGAAAGTGAATTGCAATTGCTGTGGATCCAAGGGTATATTGTCCACTCCCCAGCAGTTCGAGAACTGATAAACCAAACAAAACCATCTAAGGAAAAAAAAAACGGAATAGAGAAGGAAAATGAAATATATGGGACAAAGAATTTATTGCTAAAAATTAAACACTCTCTTCCATGGTAAGAAAAGGGTCATGACATCCTTACTGATTGAGAATAAAACTTGAACATATCATCATGTAGTATGAAAATTCATTTCCCTGGCTTATGAAACCTGTATAGAATTTGACAAACAATAGCCATGAGTATGAACATATGGAAAAGCAGAATTCTTAGCAACTGAACAATGTATACACACCTAGACATGAAATTTCCAAAGCCAGTCGCCCAAGTCCAGCACCAGGAACTAAACAGGCAGGAGGACTGTTCAACATAATTTACGATTAGCATATACAGTAAAGTACTAGGAATAAAAAAACACTCACACACTAAGAAATAGTAATTTATTCTTTACAACGGTCAAGAAACAATACAATGACAGGAAGACACATATGAAAAAATAAAACCCACAACAGAAAATAATAGTACCTTTCCTTAGAGCGATCAGCAAATAGTGAATCAAGTTCTTCAAGTATAGGCTTGTAGCACTGGTCGCGTTCTTTCTGTCCCTGTATTAAATATATAAAGTAAAACTTGGATCCACAGATGAGATAACCTTGAACCCAGAAATCAATGATAAATCATGATGTACCTCTGCCGCCCAATCTCTAACTATGTTTCGTACAATACAACGAACCTGTAGGGGGAAAAAGAAAATAGGATATTAAACTTAAATTTGACGCATGTACTGGTTGTATTTCTTCTTATTTAAAGAAAAAGAAAAGAAAAGAAATGAGTCTCATTGAACCAGATTTCCAACATTAGTGACCAACATACCTTATCAACATCAACTAACGGAACATGTAATTGTAATGATGGATCCAACCACGTACGAGTTGGTGAGGACACCTGAATTTGTAACACCAAGAAAGATAAAATTTTCAATTGAAAATTTTGGCCAAATTTTGAATAATGGAAGGATAAAAAATTTAAAAGCAACACATACAGTGCATTTAGAAAGTAAGTTGTGGTGAGGCACAATGTGGTCCCAGTTGATTAAATTTTCAGTATTTAATACCCAGAAACACATTAACTTAGTTCATATCCGTCAAAAACATGTTCAAATAAGTTGTAAAGTATTACAGCTAGAAATAAACCAAAACTCGTACATCTCCATTGGAATCAATGGCATCATTCCCATCACAGTTATGCATCTCTCTGTTATATTCCCCGCCTGAAGTGTGTCGCTCAGTGATGGAATCACAATGACCTTCATTGTTTACCTCCTGTGGTTATCTACAGAGGTCAAATTTCTAAATGAAAAAAGACATAGATGAAGCAAACTATGCATTTTTTTATATAATCAAAGATGAAACCTTATACATTTAATTATCATTTATGAACAGCTAATGTGGTCATGTAAGTGTTGCAGAAACCTTTTTGGTAGTCAACCCTATTGGTGGACTGCAGACTGCACTGCTCCCTTCCCCACAACAGGCCTGATCTGAGTTGGAGATATGCATTCTTTCACTTGTGGAGGTAGACTGAGAAGAGCAAACACTTTTTACTCCAGAAACATCATGGTAATATGAGACGCGTTCAGGATGTGGGCCATCACGGACATCTATGTCCTGGCTCAAATCAAGCGGGGGTTCAAATGCCTGCAACGTAATATAATTTTGGGGAGAAAAAAGAAGTCAAGATACCTTAATACCAATTACACCAGTTTGAGGAATCGCTCACATAATGTCAGTCCTTTGAGAAGTCATGAAGTGTTGCAATATCAAAAGGTCATCAGAATATCAATAAGTGAATCAAGTTTTAGAAAGAAAACATGATGAGAGGGAAGTTGGAACTAACCTGAAGCATGCTAAAAATGAAATATGAATTTACTGAAATGCACCTGCATAATTAACAGTCAGACAATTGCATTACTAAAACTCTTTTTTTTTTATTTTATTTATAAATTTTATAAATTTTTTAATTTTTTTTTATCAAATTTATATTAGAACAGAAAGCCCCTAAGCTATTTCACAGAATTCGTTACAACATGTTATTATGTTGGCATCCTTAGTTCAAATAAATAAAGGCACCAGCTATTTTTAAACACACTAAGAGTCTATAATACTATGGCGTTGTGTTAATTGTAAGCAAATTCCCCCACATTTACCTAGAAATTGGACATAGTGTTAATATTCTAAGCTTTACTAGCTCCACCATTAAATCTACATCATAGGCACTGCGCCGATACACGTCACAATTTAGAATCATATATGTGCCAGTCATTGGATTGTTATCAAAATATTAGAAACTTAAAAACTAACGCGATGAAAATACTCAAGGAGAACTTACCGTCTTAGTCTTTGAAACTTTAAAGGGTAGTGGGACATTAGAGCCTGCAATAAAAATTGAAGATAGTGTAATAGCAACTCACTTACTCTAACCCAGTTGGTAGTGAAAGATACAAAAGAACTTATATTAGTACCTTATGGGATGGTGGAAGCATTTTAAAAGATCTTTCATATCTTCTCACGTCCTCTTCTGCTGCCTCCGGGTAGCTGTATAAACCAAGCCAATGCCAATACATCAGAATTCAGAGAGACATTTGACATCTATGTGACAAAGGGGCACAATAGGCTACAACACCATACATGATCAAAGGGGCTCAAAACCATAGCAGAGCTAGAAAGTGAATGAAATTATGATAAAGAAATTACACACAAGCAAATAGACCAGAATATAAAATAATATAACAAATATATATTTCAGCGGAAAATGTGGCAATGCTAAAAGCACCGCAAGCGTTTTTTTTTCTTTTTCCTTCCAAACATTTAAAGACAATATGTACAGTAACCATTAAACTTAAAGCTTGTGAATTTTGATGTTGAAATTAATAACAGTGACGAAAGCATCAAGCTTTCGAAATCATATAAGAAAATCAACAAATTTGAAATCAAAGTTGAGTGTTTAAGAATTGAGAGAGAGAGGTACTTGAGGTAGGCGCTGATGATGCGCCTGAGCGATTTGACTTCGAGGGCTTCTTCTAGCTTCCTCTGACGACGTCGTTCGTCGTCTTCGTCCTCTCCTCGATGCATTTCTCTCTCTGCGGCCCTGACAGACGACATAATACTGACAAACAAGCACTGTTGGGTGTTAGTGTTTAGCTTTTGCTGGTGACTGACTGATGAAGAAGAGAACCCTCCGGCTCCTCGTATAGTCAATTGAGGATGATGAGTCACGCAAAAAAATGTATATCTTTGATGGGCCCGGCCCAACATAAATTTGAAAGGACACCCAAGAATTTTCTATGGACACCCAAACTTAGGTGAGAGAAAATTACTGGGTAACCTTAAGTTAGTTGTCGTGCTCTGTTAAACTTAAAGCAGGAGGGTAGAATGGGAGGTTATAGTGAGAGGGTTCTTAATTATCGTCTAATTCAAACTTCAGTATAAAGATATTATTGAATTGTTAGATTGAACCGTCTCACTCTAACCCCTCAACATAGTACCTCATTGACGTCAGTCATATGACCCAGTTATTTGTAGGGTGAATTCATCTTTTTTTATCTTAATACATCTTAATTTCTCAAGTTGTTATATGAAAATTCAATGATTTACAATTAATTATTAACTGAAATTAATATTCTATTTGGGCAGTACTAAAAGTTCGAGAAATGTACATCAAAAGCAAAAACAAAAAGAACAAAAAATTTCGCTTTTTTTTCCTTCTTTTTCAAATGAGGAAAAACCCACCTAATTATTTTCACTAATAAGCGAATTACTTGTGGCAGTAAAATTTGTACATTGGCAATTTAGCATGGTGAAAAAAATGGGTCTGCAAAATCCATGTCACATTGGCCTTGACATTATGGCATACATATTAAATCCAAATAACTGATCTGTGGTTAAAACTCAATAACTAATAAGAGTCCATGAATTGATCTCTAGAATTAATTGCAGCTAATGCTATAATAATAATATGCTATTATAGGCTGTTGTATGGAGAAGCTTCTTGACTTCTTTTCTTCCTCTTTTGGAGAAAGCTCTGAAGAGACCTCTTCATGGAAACACCTGGAGGCCCATATATTTGAGATTGCAATGCAAGCAACGCTGCGTTTGACACACTTGATATCCCCCTTTCTGCCATATCTCCAGCTGCCAACAAAATTATGGCCCTAGCCTACATGAAATCAAAAACTTAGTTGTTAAACAACAACTTGATAGGTTTCTGTTATTTCAATGAAAATTTTCAAATTATGTTTTATTTGCTTTAGTTGAACGAAAATGCGTAGCATGACTCGATCTAGTCAGTAGTCCTAATGTCACAAATATAACATGTCAGACTATCTACGTAAAGGAAAAAAAGAAAGAGTGATGCGGAAGTTAGTTTATGAGATCATCATCAAGTACCTGAAGTTCAGTCATGTCGCTAATGAAAACTTGGCCATTATAAAAAATGGTAATTTGCTGCTGCTGGTCCGGAGTCCAGTAGCCCCTAAGAAAGATACAGGGAAAGGAAAGAGATGCCAATTGAAATCTCCTTTTGGTTCCCAACATCTATCAATTCAAAATTCAACAAACACAAGCAAAACAACAACACTAGAGAGAGAAGATCAATTTCTTGGCATGATATATAAAAATGAAAGAGCTCTGCTTTCTAAATTGTCCACGTGTGCATTAACGATTAACAATCACTCACGTGCGGATGCGAGAAGCTGTTATAGTTTTTGTGCAGGAAAACACAGTGGCATTGATGAACTTACATTGGAGTTTCCAACGGCGGTGAAGGAGTGGTCATCGGAGAAAGGCCAAGGTCCAAGCTGCAGATGCTCGGCAGAGCTAGAGAGAGAAGTTAAAAGCTAAAAATGCATTTGAAAAACCAAGAGGAGAGAGAAGAAGTACTAGGATACGAAGGGAGAACTTTTCAAGGCCACATTGAGGGAAGTGGCTGTTGGATAAGCCAAGCACCAAATGCGCTTCAAATATCGTTGGAGGCATTTCCGCACGTGGTAAACGATATACACGTGTCAAAAAATGCACTCACACTCACACTCTCTCTCTCCTTTGAAGTTTCACTAAATATCTTCTCCACATGCTCTTTGGTGTTGGTGGTGGCAAACTGCTTACTATAAAAGGAAGGCGTTGCACTTTATGAGGAGCTCGAATTTGTAGGGATGCTATATGAAATGTGGTTTGCGTGCGCACTAGAGATTGAGACAAAATGCTCAAAATTAAGATATTTGCTTAACAGATAATGCTTGATTTCTCACCCATTATCATCTATTTATCTTCCTGTTTGACGTGGTCTAATCATATTATCACACGTGAATACTTTTTAACCGACTCATATATTGTATTTTTACTTTTCATGTGGCTTAATTATTATATTATTACACGTGTTCTTTTCTTTCGAATCTCTATCAACAAAAATATCTATTGATTTCTTCTCTTCTTTTAAATTCACCAACACCAAATGATTTAGACTTACTCGATACTTATAATGTAATTGATATACATGATTTATAAGTGATTGCATCCTGATTAGGATTTATTTAAAATTTGTATGCAATGAGAAATGAATAATTAAGCAACATAAAAGGAATGGGGATGGGACTTGTTCCACAAAACGTCCTTGTCATACAACATAGGCATTGCGGCTCACATGCAACATGTCATCATAGTACTTAATTTTCGCAGTCACTCTCAAGCCAATTTGCCAACGTGCGCCTAATTAACTACTCTCTAAGGAAAAGTTACTCTCATTCAATTTAGGCACGTGAACATTGTCGGCACGTGCTCAAATTTACTTTTGTTTTGCCCTTTTCGTTACGAAAAGCATGAGCTGAAGGGCCATAGCCTCAGTCATGTGCAAATGGAAGTTGGAAGTCCTATGAGATGTTGCGGCTTTGTTTGGTTGTTTACTGGTTTTGAAGGCAAAATGAGATTTTAAAGCAACCACCAAGGTGGTAGGGAACGGCAGATATTTTGGTTGTGGTGTGTGAAAAATGTGATATTTCCTCTATTATAATGCGAAGCCTTGGAGTATTTTTGAACTTTTGTTATATATGTCACACCATCTATGCACATGCCATGCTTGCTTGCCATTACGGATTTCAACTGTTCCTATTTTGGGCTCGTTTGAGAGTGATTCTTGATGAGCCAAAAAACACTTCTATGGAGAATCACTTCTAGTGATTTTATGGAGAAGCACATAGGAGGTTTATGCCCAAAATCACTTAAAATTACTGCTAATCTTAAAAGAAAAGGGCTACTTCCTGATATCATATATGCTCATTTCATTTCTTTTCAACTTATTCTTATTTCCAAATCGTGATCAGTTTGATTTTCTCTAATTTTATTATGTGCCGCCCCGTAATAATCTGATTTTTATCTCATTATAATACTTGAAATGCCTTTAACGACTGAATTAATTTGTATTATATCTTGTAATTACAACTACACATAGGTGCATGTGCATGTGCATCTAAGTTTTTCTCCATGCTATGGCTTCTGGCTAATAATAAGTGTAGTGATCATAGCTTCAGAAGTGATATGATATGACTACACATGCATGCATTTCGCTCACGATGAGTCATCAAGAATCCAAATATTAATAATTTTTTTTTTGTTTTGTTTTGTTTTGTTTTGTTTTGTTTTCTTGAGTACGGTTGACTTGAAACAATACAAGATTCTTGGTTTGGTCTTGGTGGGTCGACTGTGATATAACAATAATAACCTTTTGTTTTTATTCAAAACAAAATTAACCTTAATGATGGACAAAAAATATACTTTAAAATGACATTATACATCGATCCCACATCTTAGAAGAAGTAATAGTGGTGATTTCCCCACTCCAATTTAATCCACTTACACTCCATTTTATAACTAAAAAAAGAGTGTAAGTGAATAAAAAGAGAGTGGGAAAATTATTACCCAGAAGTAATTTTGTCACAGTATTTGATTGAATGTTGTGATTCTATTATGATATCATAGCGGATGACAAATTATGTGTAAGGTCTCAAATTCAATGGCCACATGTCATGTGCTCCGGCCAGTATCACCCAACTCAATATAATAGTTTTTGCCCATTTTCTCACAAGTCACTTTGGTTTGGCTTGGGGGTCTCGGTTTTGTGGAATTCCGCAACTCTCGTTTAATCCAAGGGAATGAATCCTTGCTCTTTCTCGCCCTCCTCTCGTCACCCTGAAAACACAACAACTCCCTTCCATGATCAATCATGCACTTGAAGAAGAATAGAAGAAGAAGAAGAAGAAGAAGAAGAAGAAGAAATTAACCTAAACAATTGACGCAGCACAAGCAACAAAGGTTTCAAACGAAAACCTTGAGTAACAAGAAATCTGGATTCCACCAGAAACTAAGAGGAATTCTCTTGGGATAATTTTGATTAAAATCTGAGATGTTCAAAAATGTTAGACAAACCTGTCTAAATACACAACTCTCAACCTTTGAACTGCTAGGGGGAGTTATTACATTAAAACTGAAAAACAGAATTTATTCCGAAAATTAACTACGAAACTTTGAATGCGGTTTTGGAAGGCCAAACGACCTCAGAATGCCAAAATCCATCATACATCACAGCAAAGCTGTGAGTTTGACTCGT